GTATCGGTCTCTAAATTTCTAGCAAACAATAGTTCTTCACATATTTTCTCATCTTTAATAAACCTCACGTAAGACAATGCCTCATTAGTTGGTATTTGAGAATTGACTGGTCCTCAGATGATTGCACAATGATTCTTCAATGTTTTCAGCCATTTTATCATTTCGTCTTCGCACAGAAATATTACTCAAAGGAATTTTTTTAATAATATCTGCGGCCGGTTTATGAAGCACATTAGTTATTACTTCCTTTATTGCTGGCAAATTTAACTCTTCTCCGATGTTGTGTGGTTTGCTTTTTTGAGCAGTTAACAAAGAGATATTGTACGAAGCTCGAAGTTCGTCGTCACCTTGCTTAGCAGCCGCCGAAAAGAGTTTTGCTATACTTGACTGAGTATTATGCTTCTTCTCTAGGTCTTGAAAATATGCTACATTCTTGTTTTTCTTAACTGGATGCATTTTATTCAAATGATCTTCATTCGAAAATGTTTTTAGACACAGAAGACACAAAGGCGACAATGGGTTTGTGGGATTTTCAATGAATCCGAATTTAATATATTCCGCACAGCATTGCCGTCTCTTCTTTTTTATTTCCGACATTGTTTTGTCTTGAGAAATACGTAAGTAAGAAGTTGAACTTAAGTACTGCTTATCTATTACGCGCGAAACCACAAATGAAAATAAAATAAATATTACGTTGTTTATGTAGGATTGCATAAGCAGCACGCACCGACAGGAATAAGACAAGCATGCATAAACTCGTTTATCTCATTCGACGCTCAATCGTACTCAACAAGTAAGAACAAGTATTCTATGAACCAGCCGATTGATACAGGAATGCACAAATCGGGTTATTTAACAAAAGCTTGTTAAAACACGATTGCTTCGGTCTATTATCTACGAAAATTACCTATCTAGGAATACTAATAACTATTAAAATGCGAAACTGTGACTGTTGCCTTTTTATTTGTTTGTTTGTGTCTACTTTCGTTTCGAAACGGAGCGACCGATTGACAAGATTTTTATTTTATTTATTTAATGAAACAGGACAGATATATGAACTACACGGAGAGAAATATCGAACCGAGTTAGTTTGAGCAATCTCCTAATTAATATTAGTTGATGTTCACAAGTTGTAGTCGAGAGTCGAGAGCTCAGTCGGTGTCTTAGGGTCGTATTCTAGAATTCTACTCAATACTCAAGTCAGGACTTGAGTATTGCAGTGAGCACTGAAAATCATACTCAAGTCCTTGTCATTAGGGTCGTATTTCCAGTGCTTGAAATCATACTCAAATCTGCTCAAATACTGACTTGAGCATTGAGTAGAGTTCTAGAATACTACCCTAAGGGTCGTATTCTAAACTCTACTCAATGCTCAAGTCAGGATTTGAGTATGGTTTAAAGCACTCGAAATCATACTCAAGTCCCTGCCATTAGGGTCGTAGTTCCAGTGCTTGTGTTTCCAGTGCAATCCTGACTTGAGCATTGATTAGAGTTCTAGAATACGACCCTAAGAGTCTTCCTAGATGAAATTACAAATCCCCTCCTAAGCCTCTACACAACGCCCCCATTTTTTTTTTTTGGTCTCTTACTCCCTTTAGTCCTGCAACGCCAGAAGGGGGCGTCATCGCCCACTTTGGGAAAAGCTGCTCTAAATCCATATAATACAATACACTTTTGAAATAATCATTCTAAAGCGAAGACGTGGCGAAGAATCTGTAGTTCTATAAAATAGGTTCTTACGTATATTCCTAAACTACGTATGTATACACTAATCTACTTGAGCGAAAGATAGTACTAAAAAGGGACTGGAAATATCGATACTATATAGTAGAAAGGGCGTAAAGGCCAAACTACAAAGTTTATAAAACGAGTGAAATGATACCTAATTTATAAACGTTTTGGTTTATATCTTATAAATTTTTATACCTATGTTTAGTAAGTAGAAAAGCAAATTTTATCTAATAACAACATTTTTGTAGACAAATCAATAAAGCCTGAAATTTTAACCAAACTACATCAATAAATAATTATCGATAAAATTGGCTCTTACATCCTCTTCTCCGAGGTAGCGATATATTTTTTTTAGTTTCTAAACCAGCAAATGTATTTCGTGTCTTTTGTGTAGGTACGTATCATCATAAGATAGTGATAGAGTAAAGATAAATCGAAAATATCGCTAAAAACTGTTTATCAATTCTGTATTAACATCAGGATCATCTCGTATCAGCGAAAGAAGCATACCTACTTCATGGCGCGTTTGTACCATACCCACGGATTGCGCAATCCCTCGAGACGTTATGACACTCCACACCCTGAAATCTCGACCAAAGATTTAAATATAAATAGGTACTATTTAAGACCATTTTTATAAGCTACATTACAACAGCTCATAGTTATACGCCTAATCCAGCAGCATTATTAACAAAATAAATCTTGCCTGGTGAAGGCCACATACGCTGTGACACGGATATTCCCTCGTTTATTTAATATGCGCATACATGAAACTCTATGAAGACGTTCTGCAGTAAAACAACGCTCTTTTCGTGTAAACTCGCCAAGAAAAACTACAAGAGTAACGAGCGACAATATTTTAGGAAGCTTATGTTCACTCAAGTTTCAACTTAGTAGAAAGGAACCTACTTTCAGAGACAATCTTTGATGCCTACTTTCCAGCGTTTTAAAATTTAAGTGGTCAGATAAAGTCACAAATTAATAACTATTTCTATTAGTAGTAGATTCAGTCAGATCGAACAGATGTTTTCTTCGTGACGATATTTAAATCAAAAGCTAAAAATCGTATAAAAATGTTACCACAAAAACTCGCCATGTCGTGATTAATTTTTATTTAAGTATTGAGCATTAGTTTTAAATCAAATAATTGAGAAACTCAAAATTATTGAAAACTAAGTCGTGTAATAGATATGACTACAAAAATCAGACATGTGAATTGGTTCGGTCATCATAACTTATATTTGATTCCTAAAATAAATAAAAAAATTCGGTAATTGTGCGATTTTTGGTATATATTCAATCAGTATAATAAAAAACTCTACGTTCATTTCTTTTTATGATACTAAATGATGGGACGGACAAGTCGTGCGCCTGATGGCAAGCGACACGCCAGTCCATAACAGTTGCAATGCCACTCCGAGCTTTAAATCTCAAAGATCTGAGAGGCATTGCCACTACGCCCGTCGCCCTGAGATATAAGTTGAAAGTCCCATGTGGCAGTAATTTCACCAGCACCCTTACCCTTCAAAACCGGAACGTTGTAATGCTCATTACTGCTTGGCGACAGAAATAGGTAAGGTGGCAGTATTTCCCTGGACTAACTCTTTCACAAGGACCTCTACTGCAACTAACATTCATTCTATATACTGTATAACTATAGATATATTTCCATTTAACGTTTCTTGTTACACTAAACGCATAGAAAACTGTAAGTCAAATTTAGATGTTACTTCGTATAGATATTTGCTTCTCTACGTCGTGTTTTGTAGAGAACTGCATTTTTGTAACAAAAAACTAACCCTGTTCTTAAAACGAAAGTAGTTTATAGTTTAGATGTTTATACACTTATCTGTTTAACATCATGTCTTGTCGTTTTACTTAAATTTTACTTGAGAACTGTGAATAATTTGCAGAAAATTACCCACAAATACCCAATTTCAAATTTGGTTTTTGTTAAAGGGTAAGCACCTTATACCTGTAATTTAGCTTATTGGTAATATTATAATTAATTATAATTGGTGATCACGATTGGTGAAGATATTATAATTGATGATATTTAAATAATTTTCCTAATAGTATGTAGTATACTGTCTTTTTCATGTAAAAGATATTATATAAATAACAATAAGTTTAGACAAGCCATTTGGATCATCAAAAAATATCCGAATGAGACATCATTCGGGTATATCGAGTTTAGTTTTAAATTGAAGTACACGTTTATTAAGATTAAAAATAAATTGAGGTTATCAACGCAAAAGTGATGTAACCCACATTTATTTATTTTTTGTACAATATTACTATAATTGATACTAAAGTACATAATTATTTTATTATTTAGTTGCTATTTTCATATATAACAATAATATTAGTTTTATTATTATTACTATTATTTTATATATGAAAATATTATCTTATGTACTTTAATATAATTTAAAGTAATGTTGTAGAAAAATAATTAAATGTCAGTTACACCACTTTTGCGCTGATAACGTCAATTACAAATCGTCCGATATTCGTTTAAAAGTGGACTGATGAGAGAAAGAGTACCTGCAGTATTCGTTTAAAAGTACTATGTAGTACTTTCTTTCCTGACGATTTCGTTATTTATCTAAGTTATGATAATCTCAAACAAAAACAAAATGACACGAACGAATGCTTAAGGATCGTTAATGGCTTATTTTCTACTGAATTCAAATTGGAAGTCAATATTGTTAAGAGCTCTCTGTAATGATATTTACAAACAGTGCAGTAATTCTTTGACCCCAAAAATTTATTATAACAATTATTTATTGCCATTTCAACAGTCAGAAATTTATCTTGAGTCAGATTCGAAAGGCCATATTGAGAATAATTCCAAAAGAAAATTGTTTCTGAATATCTATACATACTTAACTAGTTTTGGTAATTTTTGAGTACGGGCCGTCAAACATTAAATATATTATGACTATTCGCAGTTATTTTGGTTATGCTTAAGTTCTGATGCAGAAAAACAAAGCTTTACGTATTACTGGACTCTCTTGAAGTTCAGTCTGGAGTTGTACGGTTGTACCACTATTTATTAGAAGGTGTTCTCTTATTGACAGATTTTGTCTGCAATGACTAAGCCGATACATTGTTATTGTTTGGGGAATTTGCGCGTTCTATCTTCAATAAACTCCTCCATCAAATTCTACTGCATTAAATAACTCTATAGCTTATTTAAATTTTCAGTATGAAGATATAGTATATTGGAGTCACAATATACTATATATTATTTGTAAAATTTGTTTATGGACAAATGTATGAAGGAGCTGCGCGAGAGTGATTATGGAGTGCAAATGGGCAAATCCAACATCAAATGCCTCGTATACTCTGATGACCAAGTGATTCTTGCGCCGTCAGAGGGAGAGTTGCAAAAAATGCTGGATATTATGAATGAGTCGTTTAGAAAGAGAGGTATGAAGATTAATGCAGAGAAGACGAAAGTGATGATTTTTGAAAGAAACGAAAACGTGACGGTATGTAATATTAAAATTCAAGGTATGATTATTGATCAAGTGAATGAGTTTGTATATCTGGGTAGTGTGTTTACAAGAGATGGAAAGTTTGATGAGGACATTGAAAGAAGGGTACGAAAGGGAAACGCAGTAAATGGAGCCATAAGTGGTGTAATGGGTAGTAACATCTTATCCCAAAAAGCTTACATGTCCATACATAATGCTTTGCTAGTTCCCACACTGACGTTTGGTAGTGAGAGTTGGGTATGGCAGAAGAAGGATGAAAGTAGAATTAATGCAGTGGAGATGAGATATTTGAGGAAAATTTGTGGAATAAAGGTGAGTGATAGAGATAAGAGTGCAATAATACGTGAAACATGTGGCTTGAAATAGGATGTAGTGACTAGAATAGAGAAAGGGATGTTAAGGTGATTTGAGCATGTAGAGCGGATGGATGTAAGAAGAATTACCAAACAGATTTATGATGCGAATGTGGATGGAAGGGTTTTAAGAGGACGTCCCAGAAGAACAGATTACATTGATCAGATCAGCGATGTCCTCAAAAAGGCTGAGTTTCGAAGTGACAAGAATAAAAGAAGTTGTACAAAAAGGCTAATTGATGTATGTGAGCATCGAGAGTTGTGTCAGGATAGAGCAAAGTGGCGTTCCATGGTCTCTGCCTACCCCGCCTGTGGAACAAGGGCGTGAGCTTTATATATTTTTATACATGTATAAATATACATATAAATATAAATATATATAATTTATAAATTAAAATTTATAATAATGTATAAATATATATATACAAAATTATTAATATTAAAATGTAAAATATTAACAACTAACATTAAAATAAATCGCTCTAAAAGGTTGATATCTCTGTGCGGTATAAAAAAAAAACGCTGACGTAAATACCAACCGGATGCAAGTGGATGGATGGAGGTCGTCGTCGAGGAGGACTCTTTTACCTTTTTAAACTTACTACTAAATACAGGTCTTACAAGTGTCAGTACAACAAAAATTTAAAAGTTTATTTTTGATAAATGTATTATGTTATGTAAAAAGTAATGGAGTAAGAGTTTGTAACGTTGTACGTTTATTCTACAACTTAACTTCACTTCTTCACTAACAACTTCGTGGTTTTATTTTAATAATAAAAGGTATGAACGTCACAAGTTGTTGTTTATGATGTTAGTAATTATACTAACATCATAAACAACTGGACTAATTATAGTCCTGTCAGGTTGTTAGTATTTTAGAAATGACCCTGTCTATTTATGTTTTAATGTACTGTCAACACCATAGTTTAATTATCGATGTAGTATAAGATTTTTTTTTATTTGGGCAGCGAAAGAGAGTTTCGCTAAATGTAGGTACTTATATCCACGTAGTTCCGAAACTTGAGACAAAGCTGCCTTTGCTGTTTACTAATTTTCTAATTTTGTGTCTTCTATTGAGGTCACACAAAAATCTAAAAAGTAGACATTTATTTAGATTTCTGTGGTGCTGATTTATGCATTTATTTATTTATAACAGAACTGTACTCACAAAAGTTATAAAATGTATAAACAGTTATAAAATAAATAAACAATTATTGCTAATTTGAAAAAAGCCTCAGCAGCCTACCGCCTCTCAAGCACAGGTCATGGGTTCGAATCCGGCCTCGCACGTCTGAGTTTTTCGGAATTTATGTGCGAAATATTTATTTGAAGTTTATAATGAGCTTTTCGGTGACGGAAAACATCGTGATGAAACCTGCGCGTCGAAGGAGGGTTAACAACCTTCGGAAAATATATGAAATCCTCAACTCGCACTGGCGCAGCGTGATGGACTATGAATCTAAACCCTTGCCTAATATTTGGGTTGATGATAATGATGATGAAAAAAATGTACCTACTCCTAAAAAATCTATACATTCCATTTAATTAATGAAAATGCGCACATTAGGCTCAATTTACATTACCGCGGAACGGAATGCACCATATCACAATGAATGAACCATAGCACGATTCGGACCTTCAAGACAGAAAGAGATGGCACTATACAATGCATACAGCGTTATTTCTTTCTTATTTTTGGCAAGTAATAGACAAACTTGAAAAATTATTCGTTCTTTCCCATTTAACAATAATAGATTGTTTGGCTGTCTGGTTTGTCTTGGTACGAATATGAGTTATGTTAAAGCCTACGATAAGTTAACATTGAAATAAGATTTGTTTTTTTAAAGGTTATGGTAGAAGCCAAAAAACCGATCGCGCGTCTTGCGAAGAATTCTGGCGCAGTCTCAGCAGTTTGTACGTTACACAATTGACCTAAAGTTAAAAGATGACGTACAATTTCGTTAAAAAAATTCACTTCCATCCTCGGCAATGTAAATCGAGCCTTAGGTTCATTGTAATTCTGGCACTTTAGGAAATAAATTGGATAACATTGGTTGCCAAATCAACTAAGAACGTTTAACGTTATTTTAAAGTCACATTTACCGATTTACGTTTCGCTATTAGGATGTTATATGTTATGTGATCCATATCCCTGCACAGTTTTAGAAATGCCAAAGGTAAATGCTGCCGTCCATATCATAAACAATATAATCGACATTTTTAGCGACAATTTCGTTATTATTATCGTATTTGGAATCAGTGAAACGAGATTTACAGTGCTTTTCATGCGGTTTTTTTTATCTTATTTTGTTTCAGTTTTATTGTTAAGCTAAATAGCTTAATCATGGACCAATAACTCGACAGGACTGCTAATTGCGATATAAGAAAGCTTAGTCGGCTATTTAAGAAGAAGCCCCATAGGAAGTGGACCTGGCAAAGCCCCAATGGTATGACGTAGAAAGAGATCGACTTCATCTTGACGGACAAGAAACGACGATAAAACTCTCGCATCAGTTCCAGAAATTCTCGGAAAAGTTGAGGACTTTTACAGCAACCACCACCCAACGCGAACGACCCAAGAGCCACACTTTCACGCCACTTCAGAGACGATCTGCCAGAAGTGGACGAAGACGATTGGGAGGGCGCTTAAACAGCTTTCACACACAGTTTTCTTTTTCTTCCGGGGCCAAAACTTTTAAACATTTTATCTAGTTTTTATCTGCTTTTCGTCACACACATAGGGAAATAAACTGTTTAGTCATCCTACAACAGCATCTAATCTCATTCTCTTGTACTTTTACCTCCCTGTTATCCGATAGATTTAGCTAAAAGCGTTCAATTTTTGTAACGCGGGTGTAGTCAAATTGGCGGGCGATCCGCAAGGGAGCGATTGAGATAGGCCGGAGGGTTGACGGAGGTAAACCAACCCTTACGCAGATGTTATCCGCTAACTACCGTCCTAAATGCGACGATGTATGTGGCTAATACATTTACGGAAAGAGTGGTTAAGTTGGTTTCTTGGTTGGTTGGAAAAGACTTAAATAAGTGTTATTTTCTCATTAGTTTGGCAAATAATGTAAATGTTGTAAATAATTTTATTACATCAAATAACCACAAAAGAAATATTAATTATACAGAAATGATCAAAGGTGGACTTAGCTCTAAAAGAGATCTCTTCCAGCCAACCCAAGGCTGTGAGAGTAACGGAACAGCTTGCAAGAGAGAATGATGAAGAAATATTATAAAGTACCGGACAAATAAAAATGACTGTTATTTAGTATTATTTAATTAAATACATAATATATACAAGGTTATTTTTAAGTTACTGACAGCCTCACACGACGTAATTTTGAAGGGTAAGGGTACTGGTGAAATTACAGGCACATCACTTGGGTCTCGACAACTTATGTCTCAGGGTGACGGGCGAAGTGACAGTGCCCCTCAGATCTTTGCGATTTAAAGCTCTGAGTGGCACTGCAACTATTATACACAGGGGTGTAGCTTACCATCAACCGCACGACTTGTTCGTCCTGTCACTTGATATTATAAAAAAAAAGACAATATCACTAACATCATAAACAACCACTTTTGTTCATCGTCTTTGCATAATCATTATAATCATTTATATTCCAATATTGACACATAAAAAACGATCGCATAATTCCTTCATTTACGAAAACTAGGTAATTGTTACGTAGCACACGCGCGGTGAGTAGTCCGAGTCACGTTGTAAATTCTCATTACAGAGCTAGTTCGGGTGCACGGTCAAACTATGCTAATTTAACATACGTCTCCCCAGCCGGCATCCGACCCAACTGCTGGGAGTACTGGCAGGAACAAAGTTTACATGGTGTTCCTCGTAGTATATTTGATGCTTGAAATGCTTTGGCTGTCTACAAACTATATTAAGTTAAAGTAACGCCTAGAGTATATAACTTCATTGACTTGATTGATTAAATGTTCACAACAATATATGGAAAGTATAGCTCGTGATATAACAATGTAAATGGATTTTTAATGTAATACAACGATTCTTCATCAACGCTATGTTTTTATTCATATAAAGTATCTCATTCTTTTTTCCTTGTGATATTAATGCTGTTGTAATGTCTATGTGCGTGTATTTTCCGACGGTACAATGTCCAGCGTAGAGGGTAGCTTTAAAAATAATTTCAGCAGGATATTTTGGATGTATGAAACAAAGTTCTCATCTGGAACTGCAAGCATTTCGCTGAATGCCCACTTCCTTCTCAAGCGGAACAGTAAAACTAATTATAACATTTCACGAAATTGCTCATCTCTTTGTACAATAATAAGAATCATATCTCTTTGCCCAATAATAATGCTAAAAGTTAAATACTAAATACCTTCCTTCGAAGTAATTCCGTGTTCTGAAAGTGTACTTAATATTCCTAGAGCTGCCGGGTTAGTAAACAAACCAAAGTCGGATTTAGACTCGAGAAACTCGAAAGTTAGAAAACAAATATCTCATGAAACCCACCGATGAAAGCCTCAGAAAATTAACCTGAGATGTTAAAACTTTAATTGAAAAGCTAATAAACAAAGTGTCTGCTCCCTACCGTGCAATAAATAATAGATAAATTAAATGGCGTGGGTCCGGGCCAAACAGAATTAAAACTTTCCGGGAGATTTCACCTAAATCACAGCTAGCTGATTTATATTTCACGCATCTTCCGCGCGAATCCGAAGGTTGCGCCTGTGCTGTAATTCATCGCCTTCGCGCGACCTGAACGTAAACACTCCATAACAGCGTAATGGATTTGTCATGTTCGTGTTATTTTTAATATCTTAATTTGATGAAATATCCATCACTTACAATTTTCTTTACAGTGTATAAAGTAGGCTTTGAGCACGTGCGTATTTAGGTATTATACGGAGTGGAAAAAATCAATAGAACATGAAGGGGAACTACCTTAAAATAATAGCTAATTTTACTTAAGGAAAACATTGTTTTAGTTTTACTAAATATGAATAACTACATTCACATACTTTTTCTAAAGCTTACCTGAGTCGGGAATCGAAGCAACTAAAAATGCAAAAAATGAACACTATTTTATAGTAGATAAGAATCGATAGGATCAATGATAAGGATGAAATCTCTCCAATAAACATTGGGTCTTACAATTCAAAGACGTCCATAACTGTTATATATAAACAAACTACGTTATTTATACGAGTATTTCGTTATACCCACCTAAATAGTTTTAATTGCTCGAGTGCTAGAATTGTGATATTTTACGAAATTTATCAGTCTATCTAACAAAGTCATACATACCCTAGGTATATTTTACGATGGTCTAAGTGTTTTTTATACTTTTTCGTAGACATACTTAAATATTAGAACTCTTGTAAGTCTAAATAGAGAAAATAGGAACTTGTGTTACCCATCAACACATGTAAGTTACAATTTTTTTTTAATCAATCAGTTGCACAGATGTTGGATAAGTATTTCCATTTACTATCAAATTATTTTTTATTTGTAAATTAAGTATATACACGTGCATCATTTTCACAATGAAAATGCTTGTAATATCTAAGTTGTAAATCTTACAATGTGCCCCATTAAGAGCTTAATTTAATGAGGCCAATGGCTTTTGTTCTTTGCTGTGTTTGGTTCACTCGATAGCATCAAATTGTCTTGTAAGAGTCAACCCATTAAATACACAGAGAATGTTTGCGCTTTGTAAACTGCGCGAACTAACTAATTGAACTTGCGTTTGACTTCTCTTAATATTGGTATTGGCAATGGGGCAAACCAATGCGTTTGAGAGAAAACGACGAAATTTTGTCTAAGTAATCATTTTAAAAATAAGTGCATACATTTTATTACAAAAACTAAGTTCAACATATTGTGGCAATATTTAGTGGTTATCGCGGTTACTTGCGACCAAATATCACCATTTTTTTTCTTAATTGGAAAAAATAGCCGATTATGTTTTTTTATGATAACAAGTGACGGGACGGGACAAACAAGTCGCATGCAGTCGCAAGTCGTACGCATGGTGCTAAGCTACGCGCCTGTCCATAGTGTAGTCGTACGATTACACGCATTCCCACGCAGGGACACTAAAGAAAAGTAATCAACCATTACTTTATTAGCGCTACATTATTCAACCATCAAACATATCTAATATAGAAAATGCAATCCCGTAAAACTGTTATAAAACGCAGGGTAAAAGTCCCACGGGTCATCATAAAACTTTCATTTCGTAGAGTATTTGTCATTCCACTTATCTAAAGACGTAAAGAAGATTTAGTAGAAAAGAGGTCAGCTATTTGCGGAATGAAAGTAACTTGGAGGCTTGTAGGCTATCGATGGTACAACGCCCGTTTCATTCCAAGATAAACATGCCCATGCCCGCATCCAGCTTTCAGTTTGATAACTCCGTCCTCGTGTAACTTTATCTACTGTAATCCAACACAATGTACATCAAGAAGAGTATATTTTTATGATATATAATACCGACAAATCTGAAAGGTTTGAATAAAAAATGAAAGTCAAATCACTTATGTAAATGGGAAAAGTTGTGCACTTTCAGTGAGTTGTGGCCCTCACTTGAAATGTACGATATTACCATAATAGAGAATAGGCAATTTTTTACTAAATGTGTTTATTGCCATTGGGAGAGATTACTTGCATTAGGACAGATACCTAATAGATTTTGCGAACTATTCAAAATTCACCCTACTCTATCTCATTTTTCCATCTCTATTGAATCCAACAATTTCCATTGAATGCGAATTAAAAATAGAGCAAAGCGCTAAAGGTGCTTATTCAGACGCCCGCCATTAGCGTGTCTGCAGACTTGCCGAAGAGCCGGTGCGAGTCAATAAATCATTTCTTGCCATTCGGCATCTCTTGTCGATCCATTCAACAGCAATTTAGTCGTTTGATTCATGCTGCACATACGGCCTATTTATCGTAAGAAAACCTGGTGTAAGTGTAGATAAAGAGATGTGAGCGTATTTTCTTATTTGTCATTTCAACTGTAAATGATAATTAAGAATCCCATAAACTGTTTAAAACTGGGGTTTAAGTACCTTAAGTAGCGCATTAAGTGAAAATATGAATAAAATTATTGAATATTGAAAAAATTATGTCCCCAAACAGTTATAGATTTATATTTCGTTTTAATTTGTTTTTACAATTTTATGAAAAGTGAAATGGCTTATTTAAAAACATAATGAAACAGAAAACGAATTGAAATTACTTTCGAAAAAAATTATAAATTAAAATATAAAATTTAAGCAATAATCACAAAAAGATACAGATACCGATATTCGATCTCTACTGTACCTGCCTACATGGTACTTGGAAATCTGCTCGACAGAATATTTCTTTTCTTTTTTGATATTACTATCAACTTGTAAGATATTATAATATTCTTATTTAATGTTTTTAAAGAAGAGAAGTTCTGATATTTTGTTGGATCGAGAGTAGCACTTTTCATTTATATATATACTTCTTATTATAATATACTTCTTATTATATACTTCTCGCTTACTTGCGTCTTTCCTCTCTCAGCGTTAAATGCATTTGTAGTATATAAAATCTGTAAATGTATTGTATTATTATATAATACAGGTCCAACCTAGTTTAGGCACCAGTCTTCCACCTGACAATTTTCA